CCCCAAAACCCCAAAACCCCAAAACCCCAAAACCCCAAAACCCCAAAACCCCAAAAGTGAAGGTGAACATTGAAGAATTTAAAATTTGGGATTTAATAGTGTCGATGTCTTTTCCTGAGTAGTTCAGGAGGCACATTTGAAAAATCTAGGTTATGATTGGTTGTTTTAGGCCTTTGTCTGCTTGAGGTTCTTAATGAAAATTCTTCTTGTACCTATGTTTTGGTTGGTAATTCTTACAGATCTTTCTTTGAGAGATGCTTCTATTCCGTATACTGAATTAAAATAATTATCCTGGTCTAGGGTTAATATTTTATCATAGTTCTCTGGGAATAATTTTCGAGTTGGAATCGACTGGAAAGGTCGATTTATAGAAACCTATATTTAGTTACCACTGTCTTTACTTTATGATGCTTTAAACGCTTCATTGTGCTCTTTTCTAGTTGATCTTTGATAATAAATTCTTTCTGACCTCCAACCCCTCCAAACAGAGTGACAACTACAAAGATGTATTTAGAGTTTACCTTGCTGGGGAATATTTTTATGACTATATCTCCATTTGGATCTTCTATTTCTCTCTAAGAAAGCCACTTGAGGATTCTTTCTTTGAATCTTTATCGAAAGTCCCACTTCTTGGTTTAATATTTATTGTGTTGCATCCAAATTTGGTTTTAGAAAAATTATTTCGTAGATGAACAGTATTCTGTGAATTGTTAAGACCTTCTTTCTTATCTATGAAATCTCATCTATGAAATTTACCGCTTTCTTTTGTCTCACTGGCATCTATGGACTTTACTGAAAGGACTCTCACAATTGTACTGTCCTGGACATCTTCAGTATTTGAGTCTCCATTATTTTCTTTGGGAGACTCTTTCGGATTATTTTCTTTTGGTTCGGTTTCCTTGATTTTAGGTTCCTTCTGTTTCTTAAGAGATTTCATCCCTACACAATTTGGCTATTCCTTACCAGTTTTTAGCTTGGGAGTCTCAACATCAATCAGATCCTGGCAGAGGATAAACTTCTTGGAAGGTGCTATCTTTCTCTTAGCAAGCTTCATCTTGAAACCTGTGTACTTCTTCTTATCAGAACTATGATGTTAGTTTGAAAGTACCTTCTGATAGATATTGATTTTTATTTGCAGCATAGTTCTATATTTCTCTTCATGCTTGAGATCTACTATATTGGATGGAAAAGTACTTGTTGGGCTTTTATCTCTGGTATTTAGAGCTATAAAAACTCGAATTCAGTCTTTCTTTCAATGACTGAGTGTTGGAATTTAGATCTTCGTAGAAAGTCTTAGTTGATTTTCTCATATTGCTTGCGTCGATAGACATTCCAGCATGCGTTTGGTATGCATTTTTCATTCTATAAAGATTTTAACTATAACATTACTTTTTCCTCTTCTTTTGTTTTAGAGATTGAGCAAGGACAAGGAAGAATTTGTTTCCTGAGTTATTTGGAACTGTTTCTCTCGCCTAAAATAATCAAACTGAATTACTCTTGATATTTTCTGCTATCCGTTTATTTTTCTTTAGATTTTGCCTTTTGTATCTTTTCAAAATTCATGATTATTCTCTTCTATTCAGCATTACCAAAGAAGTACATGTTTATATGGAGTTTTCGCCAGGTTACTAATCCGTTCTTTTTGACGAGAAACTGGGTATTTTAATGACTCTCTATAAAATGTTATAAATATTTCATATTAAATGACTTTTGGCCAAAATCTTGCAAGAAACCACAATTTTTATAAAGCAACATTATTAAAACACCACTAAAAGTATAAACAATCTTAATCAGGGATTCTACAGTAAGTTTCATTACTCGGTCATTCCAAAGAAAGTTCACTGGGTATTCTTCATGTCCATTTCAATTATAATTAAAATATATGGGGTTTTGGGGTTTTGGGGTTTTGGGGTTTTGGGG